ATCTGTAGTGGACTGACAGCCACCTCGCGTGATGCGTGTATGAATGCCCGAGTGGACTAATGACCGACCCCATTTGTTACTGTCCTCTGTCAGCATTCGCCTGTTAGGCAGGCGTACGTATACGCCCTCAAAGCCACTTCACTGGTGTAACACAAATAAACGGTCGTGTTCTCTGTCGCCGCTTTCCGACCTTTCCTCTGGTAGTTACGGTCTGTTAACTAGAGGTTTATAAGGTAGTGCTAAATTTCTAGCCACTGCACATCGTTACATCTACTGTCGTCTGTCATGCCTCTGTCCCACGGTCGTAACTAGGCGTCTACCAGCTGGGATGTTGCAAGGAGCAATCAAAAAGTTTGGATCTTACCCTTTAGCACTTAAAAATAATAATTATCTTTTGGACTCTGCTGCTTTGACAATGTCCTTAAATACGTTTCCATTGATGTATTTAATCTGCGATGCGGTCTGGCTCAGTATGCTACCATCATTGCGATTGCTACTTGGAACGTGCTTGTAATTACCTATGCAGACATCAACAGGCATTTTGGCGTGCACTTTGACTTCAGTAAACCAGCAGGCTAAAGCGTAGAAGCGGAAACTGGAGTAAGCGCTCAAGTTAATCGGCCAAATTACGCCAACACTCCTAACTACACTGATTTGTCAATTAAAATATTGCGATTGCGATCAAATGCATCAAAGAACATTAAATGCATAACAATTTAATCGGGGAATGAGCATGGGCTCAATAATAACCCTCATCACTGACTGCAGCAAATTCACCATTTGGCAAAGGCATTTTAAATTCACCTGACTCGATTTAATTGCTTTGATAAAATTTCTGTTACCAGATTTATAGACTAATTTTGGGGAGATATAAACCTGATGGCTGTAATTTCGAACAATCAGCACAGATATCTATCCATTAAACTGGAAAGATAATAAGGTTGAGTGTTTGCTTAAGTAATGTTATTACAATTTGCGTATTACGAAGGCAGGATGTGCAAGTCAGTTAAACACAAAAACAAAAAAAATAATTGAAACTGTTCCACGGCAGAATCAGCAATTGTTTACGCGAAACACTGAATTGCCAAGGCTGCAAAAATTAACACCTCAACAGCCGAGAGCACTGTGGAAGCTGAGGTTGTGCTGGTTGTTGTGGGCAATCCAGGGGAATTTGAAGGGTCAGTTGATTCAGTTGTTCGTGATGCTGTCGGTGATGTTGCTGGTGATGCTGTTGGTGTTGTTGGTGATGCTGTCTGTGATGTTGCTGGTGATGCTGTTGGTGTTGTTGGTGATGCTGACTGTGATGTTACTGGTGATGCTGTAGGTGTTGTTGGTGATGCTGTCTGTGATGTTGCTGGTGATGCTGTTGGTGCTGTTGGTGATGCTGTCTGTGATGTTGCTGGTGATGCTGTTGGTGTTGTTGGTGATGCTGTCTGTGATGTTGCTGGTGATGCTGTTGGTGTTGTTGGTGATGCTGACTGTGATGTTGCTGGTGATGCTGTCTGTGATGTTGCTGGTGGTGCACCGCTTTCTGGTGATTTAGATTGTGACGGTGATTTGTTTGATGATGATTCGGATAGAGTTGCTGCTATGCACCATGTCAGAGCAAGAAGAAAAATGAGTTTCTTCATCATTTCTGCAACGCATAAAGAAAAACCTTTTCCACTGAATTGATAAGACAGTGGTCTTAAAAACACACTGTGCAATTTGATTGCAACTTACTTGAAAAATATATATTTAGCTCACTTCTACGCTGCATATATACCCGATGTGACCAATGCTTGGATAGGAGAAAGCAGTTAAGTGCCAATCTGAGCACTTGATCCTACCTGTCATTCAATACTAGGTGTGGCAGGTATTTCGAAAATATATGGCTTATGACGCATTTCATGATTGCCAAGCCTTTAAACCAACATTTTTTTTGATGCCATATTTGCTGGTATAGTGCAGTTAACGCCACATTCATGAAGGTGCAGTCATATTCAGAAAATCTAAGTTCTACTGAAAGACTACATTAAAAACACACCATTTGAATGGTTTCTGCAAAAGCATCACAAGTATTCTTTGTGGCATTGTTCGGCTATCGGTTAATATGCCTACTTTGTGTTCTCTAATCCGTCAACATTCATTCTATTTTCAAATGGATTGTCTATTTTGATTGACTCAAACAATTACCACTCAAATATGCACAACAAACGCTTTCAGATGGCGCATATTAGGCATTGAAAGATATGATTCTAAGTATGTCATCAGTGTCAAGTTAATATTTGCAAACTGGTAAATGTACTACGTAGGCAAAATCAGTGACAATATTGTATCCCTAATCCAAATGCCACCCTAGCTTGTCGGAACTTTCTTCATCAGTGAGGCTGTCTGGGAAAATATTCACCCATTCTTAATGAAAAATTCGCCTTTATTCTCTTGACGTATTAGCGACATAAACTCTTTTGCTAGATATAATTTTACATTGCCCTGTATTAAATTTAAAAGCTTCTTTCAACGCCAAAATTGATTATTTATGTATAGTGAAAATGTCTCTCCATACAAAGCAGCAGTGTTGTTCGTTGCAGTAGTACAAAAATGTCAGTCGTGCTATATCAAGGCATTTTTCTGCAAGCATAAGTGTTTTTAAACCGCTTTCAGAGGTT